ATGTGTCTCGCTGTGTTTCTCCTTGGATTTATCCTGTATGGGACTCTGCAGTTCCTGGACATGGGTGGCTATTTCCTTTCCCATGTTAGGGAAGTTTTCGACTATAATCTCTTCAAATATTTTCTCAGGTCCTTTCTCTCTCTCTTCTCCTTCTGGGACCCCTATAGTGTGAATGTTATTGCGTTTAATGTTGTCCCAGAGGTCTCTTAGGCTGTCTTCATTTCTTTTCATTCTTTTTTCTTTATTCTGTTCCACAGCAGTGAATTCCACCATTCTGTCTTCCAGGTCATTTATCCGTTCTTCTGCCTCAGTTATTCTGCTATTGATTCCTTCTAGTGTAGTTTTCATTTCAGTTATTGTATTGTTCATCTCTGTTTGTTTGTTCTTTAATTCTTCTAGGTGTTTGTTAAACATTTCTTGCATCTTCTCAATCTTTGCCTCCATTCTTTTTCCGAAGTCCTGGATCATCTTCACTATCATTATTCTGAATTCTTTTTCTGGAAGGCTGCCTATCTCCACTTCATTTAGTTGTTTTTCTGCACATTTATCTTGTTCCTTCATCTGGTACATAGCCCTCTGCCTTCTCATCTTGTCTGTCCTTCTGTGAATGTGGTTTTTGTTCCACAGGCTGCAGGATTGTAGTTCTTCTTGCTTCTGCTGTCTGTCCTCTGGTGGATGAGTCTATCTAAGACGCCTGTGCAGGTTTCCTGATGGGAGGGACTCTCAACTCTTCTATAATGTAATACTCTATTAGTCATCTTTGTCTCCCTAAGGTTAAATCCAGATAGTCAACTTTAAGCACAGTGTAAAATAAATTAATGCCATAAATGTACACAAGGTTAAGTGGCTATTACATCAAGCATTAGAGAAATCTGTATTTGATTCTTTGACCCTGAAGAGAGTATACTGTGAACATTCATGACTAGAATGGTGGCCCTGATTCTATTTCTCCTGTTCCCAGGAATTCACCTCTAAACTATGTATTTCTAATGTAAAGAAAAGTAAGAAATTACAGAAAAGTAAGAAAGAACAAAGACGGAGATAGGAAAATTCTGATAGTAGCAACAATATATATTTTTTTAATTTTTAGCTGGAGTACAGCTTACAACAAAACACACAGTTCCTATATATTAGGCCCATGAGCTTTGTAAATTGTATATATTCCTGCAACCACCATCTCAAAAAACCTTTAGCCTCTAAAGTTTAGAGCATTTCCATCACCCTTCTCTCAGAGATAATCACTTTTGGACTTCTATCACCTTTGGATTTGTTTTGTCCATTGTTGGATTTCATACAGAGGACATTATACAATGTTTTATATGTATGTGTCTGGCTTTTTTCCTTCAACATAATGTTTTTGAGATTTTTACAGTCACACACACACACACACACACACACAGAAGATAAACAGAAGCAAAATAGATTTAACATATAAGAAATAATAAATGTGTGAAAATATTTGCAGGAAACAAAACTATAACAGAGTAATAACACAGGAAAATTGAACAAGATTCAACAGGAAAGTACAGCAAGGTAACAAAATTTAAACAAAACCAACAAAACTTCAAGAAGTACAAAAAACTACAATAACAAAATTTAAAACTAATCTACCAGCACATTAACACAACAGAAAAGAGAATTTGGAAATTGGGAGATAGAAAAATGTCTAAAGAATGAGAAAATTTTGTAGACTGCATCTATATAAAGTATACAAAATGCATTATGAAGGAGGAAAAATAGAAAATATAGGAAAAAGATTAGAGATCTGGACAATATAATGTGAAGGTCTAATATGCATTTGATAAGTGTCTTGAGAGAAAAGTGAGCAGAGAAGAAATAAATGCAAGAACTGATGAAAGATAAACCAGAGATTCAAGAGGAATGTGAATCCCAAACAGAATAACTAAATATTTATACTAAGATATATCGTAATGAAAGAACCAACGACAGACTTCAGATAAAGAACCTGTAAAGTCCCAGTGGAACAATTATAATCATAAAGATTATTATAAGAGAAAACAATCAGCTTAGTTCTTGAGAGGCAGAATGGAAGGGTACAACTCTAGTTAAAAGCATAGGCACTGAAACTAAATTGTATTGGGTTTGAATCCTAAATTCACTACTTACTAGCTATTGTAGAGACTTTGGCAAGTTACTTAATCTTTATGTACTTTTCAGTTCCCTCATCTACAAAAGAGGGATAGAATATTCTTTCTCATTTTGTTTATATATACATACATATGACTTAAAATAGCTCCTTCCACATAGTGGAAGTCTTCAGTTAACTATATAAAAGTATATAACCATAAGATATAATAAAAGATGCCCACTCAGGCAATCACAAGTAAAATTAAATACATAACTTATTCAATCACTAATATTCCCTAGGTAAAAACAGAAACCCAGATCTAACTTAGTTGAGGCAGTTCAACTTGATTCCAATACTTTACTAGCAGTAAAATTTTATTGTGCCACCATATAACAAAAGTCACCTCACCACAGGATGAAATTTTCATTATTCATGAACAACGGGTTACTACATAACTACAAACAACAAGATATGAGGGTGGTGGCTGAGGTCAAATTTAACAAATTACCTTGAAACAAACGACCAATATGAACTAGGGTAACATTAAATAAATGTGAAAACCTTTATAGGAGATAACAGAGCTAAAAGTAGTCACTGAAGTTTGCTCTCTGAACACCACTGTCAACAAATAATGCCTTATTTCTACCAACGTACAAAAATAAGATAGCACTGAAGGTATACAGACATAACATTTTCAGGTGGTTACTTTTTAGGCAGGTTCTGAACAAAATTATATTATCTTCTATAAACAGAGACAATAGATACAAACATAAGATACAAAAATATATATAATGACACTTTATATATGTACATAATACATACACATACACACACACACACACACACACACACACACACGCACGCACACATATTTAGTAAACTAAGTACCGAACCATGGTCCAACAGTTTATGTGAAAAATTTTCTGCCCTGCCAATATCTTTTTTGGATGAATCTGAGGCAAGCATGACTCTATACCATACTTCAACCTCAAAATACCACAAAGAGATCCAAAAATATTCCCAGTTCTCCCAAAGAATAGCAAATAACCACAATTATATGTAGTCCTGATCACTGTGAATGTCTGCCCACTAAAAAAAAGAAGAAAAATAAAGGGATAGTGATATGGCATGAAGGTAAACTAAAAAAAGTGACTTATGTGTGTATACATAAGAAGGCTAAAAGATGACATAACACATGTTTACTAAGGCATCAAAGATGTCAACAGGGTAAACAAGTTCCAAATCTGAAAATAACAGGACCTAAGGGTCACCAGTTAATGACTGAAATGGACAAGTAAAGGTCAGCCTAGAGGGGCTCCTATTTTGACACAATGGTTTATTTGCCCTAACATCAGTTAAATATCTGATAGATATCTGAAGCTACTCACTAGGGGCCATCAATAACACAGAATATGGGTGTTGCCACACTTTCATCCTTGTGTGCCACCCCAACTCCCAACACTGTACAACATCTAGATCCCAGACCACCGGCCTAGAACATGGGAAAAGAGAGAAATCCAAAGAAAAAGTCAGCAGTGCCCATTCCCTGCATCCTGGGCCTCCCTATTGTGATTCACACAAACTAACTCCCCTCGTCCTGATTTCACACTCAGGAGGGAATCTTGTAATTTTAACTTAGCATTCTATGTGTATCAGCCTACAGAAAGAAAACATATTATTTATTCTGATGTGGGCATTCTGGACCCATAATAGTAAAATACCTCACTGTAAGTTAGAAATTAACTCTTTCTAAATATTTACACCTCTGAGAGCTTGACTGATTGCATGAATTGATTAATACTGTGAATCCACTTCTGATTAACAGTGACAATCTTAATGAGACAACCCAACCAGATTTTCTGTCATAAAGTCAAGGACCAGAACTTAAACCTAGGTGAACTCATGCCAGGTAAATGCCAGTGCCAACTCACATGTCAGCCAGCCAGTCTCTCCTGGCGGCACCACAATCCTGTGCATTTTTATTTCCCAGTAAAAGTAAACAGCATTTGTTGCAGTGAAACTTGGTTTACACTCACAGGATACTTAAAATTAAGTAGCACAGTTTTCTATCTCATCCCCCCAATTTTTTTTTTTTATTTCTCCCACTTGCCTCTTCCTCAAATGGTCTCTCCTTCTATATTAAAGTCACATTACCCTAATAACAGTGGTTATATTGGCAGAGACAAGATTGAGACTGGCAGGCAGGCTGGGAAAACCAAGCCATGCTCAACCTCAAGGAAACATGGCTGGCAAACCAGATAGAACAGATGTGCCAGCAGAAAGTTATAGCTTATAAAAATTCCCAGATCCCAACTATTCAAAAAAAAAAGCTGCCTTATAGCTGTCATACCAGGCACATCTGGGACTTCAAAACAGTCCCAGGAGAGTTTGCTTGCCTGGCTATCCACCCACAACAAGAATTTCTGAATCCTTGAAGGTCAAGCAATAGCCAAGTTTTATCAAATATAAAAACATCAACAGAAAAAGAGATGTTGGAAGGTACCTCAAATACATTTTCAAATAATATAATCCTGAATACTAAGGACACCTTTGTCCAAGTGCTTGAGTCAGGAAGAAAAATCTTGCATTCTAACTTTTATCTAATAAAAAATGCCAATATGCCAGCTTCCTTAAATTCAAAAATTTTTTAATTCAGTTCTATAATGCTGCCAAAGTAAAGGGATTAAGTTTTTGTAACACACGAAGACACAGATATCTTATATACACATTATCATACACTTGAGGGGCATGATGATGCTAGGAGCTTAATAACAAAAGGTCAGTTACACTTACCACTTTCCCAATAAACACTCAAGTTAAAAGGATATGAAAAAAAAAAGTGAAAATGCAACTTTATCATTAAAGAAATAACAAGAAAGTAATTAAAGAAAAATAAGAAACATGAACTTACCAGTTTAATTGCCACGTATTCATTTGTGTATAAATTTTTCCCTTGAAAAAAAAAGAAAAATGTCAGATTCTACAAGCAATGAATTTTTAAAGATACATTATGTAAAACTGTACTCTGGGGGGTCAGGGGAAGCACATAACACATTTAAATGAAACATAGGTTTTTGCTTCCAACTATTTAGCAGAAGTCTCAGTAACAAGGAAATATTTAAATTTATGATCAACTCCATAACATATTTAGTATTTCAGCTGGATTCAGAGTAGAAAGTAATACTAATAAATACTTTAGACCATTTATTAAAAAAAAAAGAAAAATTCTTATTTTGTTGGAATACCGCATACAATTTACACAGTAATCAGTAGGCAAACACATGCTAAACTAAATTTCAAAACTAGAACCCTATATAGAAATTGGAGTACAAAATTCCCTTCTCAATCACCACCTCATTTTAAATCCTTCATTATTACGGGATGTGATCTTAATAGGGCTCATATGTAATCTAGTAAATAGGTCAAATATATAGAAAAAAATGTGGAATACCTTTAAAATAAAATTTTAAAAGTATTATTCAATAATTGGCTTTGACAAACTAGTTAATTACTCTGAAGGGAAGAAGGATTATTAAGAACTTGCCTTATAACCAAATTAAATTCCAGGTATTTTAAGAGTTAGATATAAGCCATAAAACAAGAAAAAATATTTATCAGGCCAGTATACAGAAGCCTTTTTGAGCATTAAAAATAAATGGAAAAAGATTAAAAGATCAGAAGATTTTATACAGATTTGATAGCTTAAAATATTTTAAACTTTTGTCAGTTGAAAAAAACTATTATATACAAAGAACAGGTGAAAGACAAATCAGAATAAAGATTTAATATAATTAATATGTAAAGAATTCAAATGAATTACAGTAATTATTGGCACCAGCAAGTTGAAAATAATCTAGAAAATTCCAAGGGGTCAACATCTGTAGTTCAAGTAAAATACTATGGATAATTAAGTATATGAAGAAAATCTGATACAGAAATTAATATGCTTCTTTACAAGTACAGTTCAAAGAATAAAAAATAGAACAATATTTGATTTCTGGATTTCCAGTATTCTTTCAATAAGCATGTACTATTTTTATAGTAAGAAAAACAGAACACTGATCGTTGTTGTTTTTAACTGTGATAGTAACTGGCCCTGGTCACACTGGCTACTTAACACAAAATAGGTAATCATCAACTTTCACACATGATTTTTCCAACATAATACACCTAACTTCATTTTATACAACAGCTAATAAATGGCAGTAAAACTTCTAGACAAAATTTCAGTCTTGGATATGCTGCCACAATGAGCAGTATTTTCACCATAAGAATCTTTGCCACAAGCAGTTTCGCAGCACAGCTAATTGCCCATGAGGCAATTTTGCTGGAAAAATTGAAAATTATATTTTGATATAAATATGAAAATTTTATATGAACTTAAAATGAAAATAAAATTTAAAATGAACATTAAAAAGGACACAATGACACATGAAAAACGAGTAATATTTTTAAAGATTCTACTGTCAAAATGAAAATACAAAAAATATCTGAATACATTTAAAACATGTATAGATTCATGATTATAGTTGTATTATGGGATATCTGAGAAAAGGTGATACTTCCTTTGTCAAAGTCAATCATTAAGGATTCAGAATCTCATGTTGGACCTAAGTTCTCTACAACATAAAAAAACTAACTCTAAGTCTCTACCGATATCCCTGGAAATAAAATGAACAATCGAGGGATGCTCCTATTTATTATCATTATATGTAACCTATATAACTGGTAGTAAATCTCTAGACTACATTTAAATGTTCCATCACATGACCAGTCTTTATGTTTTACCAAATCATCTAAGCCAGATTCTGTACCAAATACAAAAATTCTGTCTCCATAATGTTCTCCACTATCAAATAGCAAAAATTTTCACCATTTTCAAGAAACTTACACTCATCAGGAATCACGTAACCATTTCTTTATGGGGGATAGGAAGAGCTTGATTCTTCTTTTGCCTCCAACTTCTAATATTGCATGATAAATCTGATAAAGACAGCATTAGAGTGCAAGCTGTTGCATCTAGATTAGCCAAAGAATTGACAATTAATGCTCTGGATGACTGCTGTGAGTTACTAGCTGCTTCTTTATATTTGCTATAGCTTGGTAAGCTTTTGGTTTGAGGTGTGGCAGGGATGACTGTGTTCACTGAAGGATCTGCAAAGTGATGTTCTCATTTTCTAGTACTGTATGCAATCTGGCTTTTCACTCTCTTATGTCATACCTCTAGTAAGTTTTCTTATCATTTTATTTTCTATCAAGTGAATATATGTAGTTGTTTTATTCACTATTTTAAGACCACCATGCTACTCGTCACTATTTAGACCATTATGAGGCCTAAGATTTATATAAAATAAAAATATAAGGAGGTTAGGAGGTTGGGATAGACACACTACTATATATAAAACAGATAATCAACAAGGACCTACTGTAGCACAGGGAACTCTACTCAATACTCTGTAATAACCTATATGGGAAAAGAATCTGAAAAAGAATAGATATACATATAACTAAATCACATTGCTGTACACCTGAAACATAACACTGTAAATCAAGTATACTCCAATATAAAATAAAAATAAAAAATGAAAGCACTGCATCAGTGGAGAAGTGAAACCAAACTGTCAACCAGTCGAAACCAAACTGTCAAACCAAAATGTCAACCAGTTATTTTATCTATTACAGCATTGAAACCAAATTGTCAATCAGTTATTTCACCCTTTACAGCAAAACTGCCTTATGGCCAATGAGTTGTATGGCCAAACAGTAAAACTGCTTGCAGCAAAGACTTATGGCGAAAATACCTAGAATCATTGCCACCACTGTACAGCAGTGTTTGTTCATATAAATATTATAATGCTTTTCTGAGTTTTGTCTTTATTTTATAAAAATGAGTGAAAAAATACCAGCATTCATTCTAATGCTAAATAGCATGAGTCTCATAAACCCATCACACTTATCACAAAGAAGGAGCTCAATAGGAGGACCCAAAGTGGTGAAGGCTAAGCTATAGTGAGGTACTCACTGAGCCCATAAATATTTTAGAAAACATACCGTATTTTTAGCCAATAAGTTCAGCATTTAGATGTGCCTTCATATATATTTTCAAGAATGGGCTATGTATAAAATTGTAGTCTTCCTCTAGTAAGCTTGAGGTGAATAATTTAATGGTACAATGAAAAACTTAATCTTGAGAAACTGGTATCTAACAAAGGAACAATTGTGTTTTGAGTTTAAATATGGAAATTATATTTCCTCAAGACATTATCATCTTTTCATAATTATCCTGTATATGATATTTATTCACAAGTGCACAGGGAAAAATATTCATAGGACAAGAAGTTAGGTTAAACACAAATTCCACAGAATCAAAATAAACCATATACTTCTAAAAGTACTGTTTTTGTTGGCATTTACATGTTCAAATGTCTACTTTTAAGTCACAGCAGAAAGTACAAAATCCTAAAAGCATCACGTTTTTTTGAACATTAGACATTTTGCTGAACTTTGAGGGTTATATTTATAAAGATGAACATAGATTGAACAACACTACCAATGCATTTTTGTCACCTTGCATAGGCATAGCCTTAAATAATTGGCTTTTAATCGATTTTTGTTATATATATGAACTAACAATGCACAGAATATGTGTTTGTGGGTAAAATATGAGCAAAAGAGAGGGAGTGTATGTATAGAGGGAATGCAGTTAAGAGAAGGCTCCAAGAAGACTGGTTCCAGTTAACTGATGTTTTAAATCCAATTTCAAAAGACATTTCCAACAGAGCTTTGTGCCACACTGAACTTGAAAAGATGGTTTTACCAATTTTGTGGCATTTGGGTGGTCATTGTTATAAAACTATGTTCTACAGAAACTACATATATGTTTATATCAGGGATTACTAATTAACCAAAATATACCTGTGCCCCTTCCCTAATAATAGAATGCCCGAGTTTTAAAATGGTTGTCCAGCTAAACTAAATTTCTAGCCTCTTTTTCAGCTTGGTGCGACCATGTGATCAAGTTCTGTATACGAGTCGATGTTAAGGTATGTCACTCCCCACTTCCAAGAATGAACATGTGCTCTTCTGGCCCTTTTTCTTCTTGCTGGCTGGCTGGAAGAGAGACTGAAGCCACATATTGAGCATGCAGAGATACCCTGACAGCTCTGGGTGCTATCCTTCTGGTCTGTGTTATGTGAAAAAGAAAGAAACGATTTTGCCTAACACCACTATATTCTAGGATCTCTTTGTTATAGTACCATAGTCTATTCCTTACTATTACATTTTTCAGATAAGTTTGAAGCCTGAATTAGTAAAAGTAGAAAACCAATAAACATTTATAAATGATGAATCCACTCAAATCTGTATATTTACTTGATATATACTGTAAGGCCTGCAGAATTTTCAACAAAACAATTCTTAAATATAAACAATAAATTAAGAAGAGTTATAAGCTATACAGGAACAAGAGGAGAAAAAACAAAAATAAAAGAAGTTATAAAAACTCCTGTTGTCTACTTAATTGTAATTATCAAAATTTACAATATCCTATTTCAGATAATGGGAATTCATAGACAAATATATAACACCCTTGTTTTGTGTTCCTTTACGTCGTGGTCAGTCAGGTTTAGCCACAAGAGGGGACACAGAAGCAGCTCAGGAAAACAAAGTTTATTATACTCCAGGTCCTAGAAAGGGGGTCACAGAAGAAGCATCATGTTTTGGTCAGGTGGTAGGAGACAGGAGCAAGGGAAGAGCTTAGGCCAAGGCCTTTATCGGTGTTTCTGCAGGAAAGGCAAGGCGGGGCAGGGTAAACAGCTTAGGACTGGGTAATTTGAATAATTCTGTTAGCCTTTGGTGGGCAGTCTCTAGTTGTCTTGTACTTGGCCGTGGGATGAGTTAAGGAAGAGGAAAATTGCCTTCTGGGGTGTATGGGCCAGAGAGGAGGTATGGCTCTGGATTGTTTAGTTTGCAGATCAAGGCATGCTCTCAGTTGAGTCCTTTTCTATTGTTAAGAACTGGCTAGCCTGTGGAGGAGCAGTCTCTCCACAGCTAGAAAGGTTTTCCGGTTTTTTTGTTTTTATTATTAAAGCAGTGTTATGTTGGCTGAACTGTAAAGCAGAAAGATACTCCATATATTCTGGAACACATCTGCAGTAAGAGCTCTCACCTCAGGTTTTTGTTTTTGTTTTTTTTAATTGAAATATGGCTGACCAGAAAGGTTTTTTTAAGATGTTAAAGCATCATGGGAAAACAAAAAATATATACAGTATAACCCCACATTTTAGCTAGCTTTGTTTTGTCTCATTCAGTGCCTGTTAAAAACATTTCTAGGGGTTTTGGTTGATTGTCTAAGCTAGAACTACATCTAACATGCAAGCAGGATGCAAGCCTTACCACAATACAAAGATAAAATAAAACCAAAAATATATCAATTCATCATTTTATAATTTAAAATACAGATAAAAATGTTATTAAATACATTTACTTAAATTTAATTTTAGATTATTTCAAAAATTCAACTTTTTTTTTTTAATCTCAAGTCCAATTTTATGTCCAACTTTCTTTTTTTTTCTGTACTTTCAACAGAGGGTAATAGTGTCTCTCCTTGGGGCATTTAGAAATGGCAGTGGAGGTTGGGGGAAGGGCATTTGGGGTTGCATATGGAGATGCAACTCCTATTTAGTGCCCAAGAAGTCTGAAGTTCTAAACACCATGCAGTGCACTGGACAGTCCTCTACATACACACACACACAAAAACTGTCCAGCCAAAGGTGTTAATAGCATCTTCATTGAAAATCACTTACCTGTAACATATATACCTTATATTTTTTTTTACCCAATACTAAGCACAAAAATTTCAGTGCCAGAAATCAAATGTTTATTAACATGGTTTTAAAGAAAGCACCTTAAGAATTCAAACCAGCTTTTAACATTAGCATGCTTATCCAGGTACAGAAAGAATGATACTTATCACAACTTTTTCTGCACAGAGAAATCACTTGGGACCTTTAGAAAAAGGAATAAAACGTCCCTTTATTTAGTAGTCTATCAAGAGAGAAAAATATGATTAAATTAGTTCTGCAAGTGTATATATTACATGTATCATAAGTACACATAAAACACAGTTACATGTATAGATAATACATTTAAATAAATAGATGTACACAAATATATAATAAAAACCCATAGATAGATCAGGTACAGAGAGATAGATAAATAGATGATGGATGGATGGATGGATGGATGGATGGATGGATGGATGGATGGACTAGTAAGTCATCTTATGCCTATTCCTGCTCATTCACAGACTGCAAAAGAAAGGGTTATTTTGCTGTTTTTTCAGTACATAGCATATATAGTTTCAGTATATATGGGTACATACAGTTTCTCATATTGCCCTAGTTAAACTGCTCCACTAGATTGTTTTGTGTGTATACACACACACACACACACACACACATGCACATATACATACATGCACACACACAGATGTATATATATGTAGTTATTTTGAAATAAATTACATGAAACCAATTTTGAATAAAAAATGCCAAAGTACTATGGTACTATAGTCATATACACAAAGAGAGAGAGAGTGACAGGTGAAGTACCAATATTTATATACAACAAAATATATAGCTATAAAACTAATTTATATAAATAAATTTAAATAAATATACATATAACATGCTATAATTTTAATTAAAAACAAATATCTTGATATCTTTTAATGGAGCAGAACAATCATTGTTTTCCTAAAACAGGCAAGTATAGTGCTGGTCCTTTTATACTATTATCTAAATTTAATCATCACAATAATTTAGGAAGTGGAAATAATCCCATTTTAAAGTTGAGAAATTTGAAGCGCCACATAGTTAAATGACTTATGTATTCCATAATGGCAGAGACAAATTTTATATTTTTCTAGTGTATCATCAGTGCCTAATCATGCCTCATACATAATACTGTAGACATGCAATAAATTTTGAATGGATAGATGGATGTATAATAGTTCAAGGTTGGATAAGTAAATAACCTGGTTTTTTTTCTAATGCCAAAATCAGAAACAATTTAAGAATTTCAAAATATCTAATTCAACATCCTTCAAAAAATAAAATGTAAAACATTCACCCTTTCAAATATTTGCGTCCCTTCTAAAATGCAGAAGAGTCTGTCAGACACATCCTTTAACAGCAATATACAAAATATGTCGTTGCCTTTTATTGCCTTGCTTCATTCAAAGATTTAACGTACACTAGCTACATAAAACAGTAATAAAATGAAGGAATAACTACAAATTAGAGTGTTTTACAAGATGAAAAAGGAGAAGTAGTCGAGTAGATGAACATACAATTGCTTATATTTCTAACACCAGGGTTGAATCTAATGAAAATTGTGAAGCCAAGATTTTTTTTTTATTTCCGAAGTTTACACTCTTGCATTGACAAGAGAGCCCTCAGGCTCCCATAAAACTGTGCTACCCTCCTTCTTGTTTCTCTTCAGTGAAGATAGTCACATCTTTATTGCACTAGGAGTTAAAAATGTAGATTTGGATCGCGGGTCCATCTTAACTTGCTGTGTGACATTTGGCAAGAAACCTTCCCTCACTGAGTTTCAAATGCCTTAAATGTAGAGTTAGGAGGTTTAAATTAGACCAGTGTTTCCCAAACTTACCTGATTATAAGAATAAACCGAGTCAGTACTTTGTGTCCCTTATTAAGAATATAGATTCCTAAACTACCCTGGATATACTTGGGGGAAGGGGAGAATAGATTACAATACTGTAAATTTCACTGATTTTTGATGCAGTTTCAGCATATTACCTTGATTTTAAGCCATACATATCTTCCTAAAGTAACCAGTTACTAAATGTTTTCAAATCAGAAAAGGTAGCCTAAATATCATTCCTAAAAAATACATTGCAAAGGCTTTCCTGGTATCTATTTCAGCCTCTCAGGGCTTTTTAATTTACTTTCTTTTTTCTCATATTCTGGATGGTTTATCTCAAGCAAACAGACATTGTTATACTAGGGAATTACTGACAAATGAAAATAGAAGTATATTAGAAATTCCTAATATCTATATTCTTTAAAATTACCACAACAATTAAACAACTAAACAATTAAGTAACTAAATCACTTCATTAAACAGTATCTTTCATTTTAAAAAATGCTCCCAACTTTATGGAATAAATAAAATAGTCTTACCTAATCGTAATTCTCCAAAATTCCCACATCCAATTTTTTTTCCGACTCTAAAGTTAGGTCCAACCATTAAAACTCCAGAGGATGAAGAACCAGTTCCTCGAGTGTTGTGTCCTGACCGACCACTAGGTCGTGCCATTCTATCATCTGATTTGTCCTTGTCTTTCTTTTTATTATCCATATCAAGTTTGCGGTACTCCACTTTGAATTCTTTAATCAAGACAACCACACTGAAATAGGGTATTGTGAGAATAGGTACATCACTAGGTAACTGTACCAGGTGGGTAATGTTAACATTCAAATTGTAGTAGGTAGTCAATTAACTGGTGCGTGTTCATCCCATTCGTAAAATTTTTCTCAGTTTTCTTTTCAGCAAAACATGTCTTCAAAATTGTCTTTTCAATGATGTGAGCTGATATTGATAGTGACCTAGAATAGTAAGAAAAGAAAATCAGTCAACTTAGAGAATCAAAAAACATATGTTTGGGAAATTAATAACATAACCAAAGTTTAGGCAATGGACAATTACTGTTTGTTGATGCCCACTGAAATCTAACCTCAGTAGACTCTTAATCATTACCCTTTATTCCTATACTTTAATACCAAAGGGATCACAAAAACAAAACCAAACTGAGAAATCAGTGATTTGGTTACTTCTTAAAAATAAATAAAAGTAACAAAAATGTATTGAGAGGGACTTCCCTGGTGGTCCAGTGGTAAAGAATCCGCCCTCCAACGCAGGGGACACGGGTTCAATCCCTGGTTGGGGAACTAAGATCCTACATGCCGCGGGACAACTAAGCCCGCATGCCACAACTACTCAGCTCACACACCTCAACAAGAGAGCCCATATGCCGCAAACTACAGAGCCCATGCGCTCTGGAGCCAGTGCACCACAACTAGAGAGAGAAAACCCACACACCACAACTAGAGAGAGTCCTGCGCACCACAACGAAGAGCCCGTGTCACACCGAAAGATCTCGCATGCCACAACTAAGACCCAACATGGCCTAAAATAAAGAAAAAATAAAAATAAATAAAATCACTGTTTAAAAAAAAAATGTATTGAGTGTTTCATAAGCCAATATACATTCACTAACCAAGTCCTTCCAACTTAGAATCATTTCAATTAAAAAAAAATACTCAAAGAATTCCAGTAAGTCAATATAAGATTTTCAATTTAAATTAAAGCAGAAAAAGAGAATACATTTTGCAAATTAGTAAAAGATCTTAATAAAAATATCTTCCACATATTCATACACTTAATAATTTTCAAAGGCTTTTCAAATATACATTCTCATTTGACCTTCATTTATTCAAATATTTATTACCCATTAAGTATATATTATCCATAACTATATACAGGAATGGGGCAATCATAACAAGGGTTGAAATAAATAGTATTTTCTGATCAGCTTTTAGCAACCCACCAAATATGCAATTATTCCTAACACCTAATCTATTTATAAAGTTTCTTATTATATTTGCCATACTCAATATTGCAGATGAAACTATAAGCATCTGTTTGGTATAAGTAAAATTGAATCATTTTTACATATACTGTTTGCTCTCCTTCCAGCTATAATAGAGTAACTGATACTGAACTTCCCCTCTTGCTATAAATAATTATGAAACTGGACAAAACATATGAAGCACCTGTTTTCAGGCACTGGATAATAGGCAGTGTAAAAGAAAACAGAAACACAGAAGGTGATTTCCACCTTCACCCAAGATCTCCAGCTAGGGACAATTTTCTGACTACAGCACAGGGAAATGGAGGCTCAGGCAGTGCACACTGATCATAGATCAGAGTTTGGGACTGTTGAAGCTAGTGGAATTTGCAGGACCTCACAATACTGAAGGTGAGGCAGCTGTACAGTTTTAGGGGTAGGAGGTGACAGGGCAGAAACTAGGCTAGCAGACAAAGGCTGCTATGGGGTTAAATAAAGAATGGAGATACTAAAGGCTGTGCAGTGCTAGATAACTTAAAGTTCCTATCTAATCATGGTGGAGGTACCTCATTAATATCCCAGAATTTAGCTGAAATACCAGAAAGACCAAGTCTTTAGAGTAAGGACCATACCCTAGAGTAAGGACTACTATACACTGGCCCAACTAAAGCCTAAAACCAAGCCTAGATAGGATTAAGAATACCTCCAATTACACTAACTACATTCCAGAATGAAACTTGACATACTTAAAAAAACAGAGGAAAAAAATCCCAAAAACAGACTTTTAACAATGTTGAATTCATAATGTCCAGACATGAAAATGAGCAGTAAATGTGACATGCAGACAGGAAACAAAGCCATCAAAGGAAACAGACTCCAAGATGACCCTGATATTGATATTAGAAGACAGGACTTCAAAATTACTAAATAGCTGTTGAAGTCGTATTATATTAAAGAAAGAGACTGGAGCAGAAAAAAATATTTGAAGAAATAGGGGTTGAAAATTTCCCAAATTTACTGAAAAACATTAACCTACAAAATGAGGAAACTCAGTAATCCCATAAAGGATAGGTACAAAGAAAATTAAACCTAGGTACATCAAAGTGCAAAAACCCCAAAATAAAGGGAAAATCTTGAAAGCAGACAGAGAAAAACTACACGACATACAGGTGAACTTCTAACTTCTTATCAGAAACAATGGAGACCCAAAAGGAAATGGGAGAATACGTTCAAAGCAATGAAAGGAGGAAAAGAACTCTCAACCCAGAACATGACATCCAATAAAAATTAGTCTTTAAAACTAAAAGTGAAAGAAAGCCATTTTCAGATGAAGGAAGCTAAGAATTAGTCACCAGCACACTTGCACAACAAGAAATACTTTTTAAATAGCGCATTAGGCTTAATTAAATCACATGATACCAGACAGAAATCTGAAACTTCAAAAAGAAATGAGGAACACTAGAAATGGGAAATGTATGTGTATTCATTTCCTTAAAAGATAAATTACTCTTTAAAGCACAAATAATTTCTTAGTGTCACTTATAACATGTGGAAATAAAATATATGTATAACAACAGAAATGGCAGGGGCAGGTAGTAAATGGAATTATATTATTTTAAGATTCTTATATTTGTTAAGAATGAAGTGGTTCAGTATTAATTTTAAGAAGCCCATGACAAGTTAAAAATGCATATTGTGATACCTAGACCAAATACTAAAAATTAATTACAACAGAAATATCTAAAAAGTTAACACAAGAAATAACATAGAATGACAAACATTTGATTCAAACAAAAGAAGAGAAATAAGAGATATGAGACAAAAAGGAAAACAGCAAGAGAATAGACTTAAAAACACACATATAATGAAAATGGATCATATTTTCCTAATAAAAGGCAAAAGGCTATAAAAAAATCAAGATCCAACTATATGCTGTCTCTAAGAAACAGCTTTAAATACAAAGACACAGATAGACTGAAAGTGAACGAATAGAAAAAGAGGGCTTTCCTGGTGGCGCAGCAGTTAGGAATCCTCCTGCCAATGCAGAGGACATGGGTTCGAGGCCTGGTCTGGGAAAGTCCCACATGCCGCAGAGCAACTAAGCCCCTGTGCCACAACTACTGAGCCTGTGCTCTGGAGCCTGCAAGCCACAACTACTGAGCCCATGCGCCACAACAACTGAAGCCCACACACCTAGAGCCTGTGCTTGCAACGAGAAGCCAACAAAATGAGAAGTCGGCACGGTGCAACAAAGAATAGCACCCGCTCACCACAACGAGAGAAAACCCGCGCACTGCAATGAAGACCCAACGCAGCCAAAAATAAATAAAATAAATTTATTTTTTAAAAATAGAAAGAATAGAAAAAGAGATACTATGCAAACAGCAAGTAAAATAAGCTTGAGAGACTATATTATCATACAAAGTAAACACCAAAACAAGGGAGTATCTCCAAAGATACAGAGGTCCACTTCATAATAACAAAAATATCAATTCAACAGAAAGACATAAAAATCATAAAAATGACATAAAAATGAGCAAAATGAAGACTTTAAAAAACAATGATTTGTTTGAAATGATTGAAAAAGACAATCATTGTTGAAATGTTAACACTGTTGTTTCAATAACTGATAAAGTAGAAGACAAAAATATCAGTATGTATACTGACACAGGAGATCTAAATAATACCATCGATTACCCTGAACTGACATTTATAAAATACAATATCCAAAACTGAAGAATATTCCCTTTCAATGTTCATCAAGAAAGATCATATGGTGTCATTATTTAAGTCTCAAATAACTCAAACATTAGAGTATATTCTCTGATCAAAACAGAATTAGATAAGGAAACAATAATTATATGATATCTAGAAAATCCCCAAATATCTGAAATTTAAACACATTTTTAAGTAGCTCATGAGTTGAAAAATAAGTCAGATGGGAAACTAGAAAAAATTTTTCACAGAATAATAAGGAAATATAACACATTAAATTTTGTAGGTTGCAACTCAAGCAATGCTCAGAAGAAAATTAGAAGCTTTAAATGCCTATATTAGAAAAGACGTATTTAATCAATGATCTAGATTTTCTCCTTACAATGTTAGAAAAATTAGACATAACTTGAGGAAGTACTTTAATAGCGCTATTGTTAACATTCCATAGGCTTACATGAAAACATAGTCTTAACAAGTGAAAACAGTGGAATTCTCGGCAGATAAATAGGAGAATATCAAAGAAACAAAACAAAACAAACAACAGAAAGGCTAGAATAAAAAGGATCATATCTGAAATGAAAAACATCATTGGATACACTCAAAAGTAGACTGGATAAAGCAGAAGGTATCAACAAACCTGAAAGGAGATCTAAAGAAATTATCCAGGGAGCAAAATCAATACAACAGAGAAAATAAAGCCAAAGTTTACTCTTTGAAAACAGTCAATAAAATTGGTATTGCCTAGCAAAAATGATCAAGAATAAAAAGAGAAAATATACAAATAACCAATAACAAGAATGAAAGAAGGGATATTACTAAAGATCTTATAAATACTATAAGAATAAAGAACTATTATGAGCAACTTTATGACAATAAATTTCATAACTTAGATGAAATTTTAAAAATTCTTTGAAAAATCCAACATAGGGATACAAGATGAAACAGAAAATATCAATAGTTCTGAATCTAAATTGAATTTCTTTAAAAAAAAATCTTCATATAAAGACAGTATCACTGGTGAATCTATCAAATAATTAAGGAAAAAAATAACACTATTCTTACAAAAACTCTTTCAGAAACAACAAGAATAAGGAATGCTTGTCAATTTATTTGGTGAGATCAGCAGAACTCTGAAAAAAAGCCTGACTAACACTTGAAGCAAAGAAAATTAGACAAGTGTTTCTCATAAGAATAGATAAAAAAGTTCTTCACAAAATATAAGCAAATTTATAAAAAGTTTAATAAATAATAATCAAACAGGGTTT